CCCCCCCCCCCCCCCACCCGCCTGTGGCAGATCATAGGCGCAAGATAACAGTAGCCGCGCTGCTGGGTCAGTGGTTTTTAGAGAAAATTCAAAATGGCGGACGAAGATTCCACTGACTTGAGTGTCACTGGTGAAGAGGGTCATTCAACAATTTTATTGGCTCATTACATTTTTGTTTTTTTATTGACGACAAACTTATTAAGCAATGCTAATTACTCCGTAAAATTGCACAAAAATGCTTAGAAATGCTTTCTTTTGTTGTACCATTTGTATATTTTGGAATTAGACCAAAAAATGTTTTTGTTTTTTTGGAGCAACTTTGAACAACTTTCGTTACAAAAAGCAACTTTTGATTGATTTTTGAGAAATTACGGGAAACATTTTGGAAAATCTCGAGCAACTTGTGGAAATCCCTTGCCCGGGTCTCCAAGTTGGTCGCCTAAATTAAGAAATCAGTGAGCTGTTAGTTAATTATTAAAAATTAAACAAATTATTTTCTAAACAGGTCAAGCAGAACTTTGTGAATTTATTTATTGTTTTAACTTTTTATTTTCATGAAAAATCACATCCTTTGTCTAGTTTAACCTCCTGGCCCCAGTTGTTCAAAAGGTGGATAGCGCTATCCACCGGATAAATCTCTATCCAGTGGATAGTGCAATTGGTTTCCCTAATACTTATCCACTGGATAGAGATTTATCCGATGGATAGCGCTATCTAGCTTTTGAACAATTGGGGCCTGAACGTGCGAAAAAAAAACACAAACCCGCACGTTGTCATATGAAAGTAATGAAACCCATCTAAGTTTTCGCGCCATATGAGAAACAACAGGGGCACCCAACGACTGTTTTCTGTAAAATATCTGTTCGGAAAAGCAAATATTGCCTTGAATTTTCTACAGCTTGAGAACGGCTAAGAAATTCTAGATGACCGTTCCATTCATGTACAATTTTTGAAGCTTATCTCATAAATTCCCTACGATTTTCTGACGTTTAATTTTTCATATTTCACACCCCAGGGAAGGCTATTTTTCGCAGAAAAAGGAAACCTAAAACAGAAACTTTCGGATTCAAAAATTTCATGGAGAGAGGAGTCGGAAAAATTCTCACTTTCGTTTAACGGTAAATTGCATCTAAAATTTTCGGGAAAATCATACTGAAGCCCTTGTAATTTCGAAAAGGCTCAAGTTGCCCTAGGATGACCGAACAGATACAAATTTCATAGCGCGCCTTAGAATGCATTTCTACAAATCTAAAAGTACTCTAGGTAGCCTCAAAGTGTTTTTAACGTATTTAAGGGTAAATCGTCGTTGGGTGCCCCTGAAACAAGGGCAACGCCGCCAAATATTTCATGTGTTTTTAAGTAAGATTCTGGTCTGTTTATGTAATTGTTATAAAAATGTTTGGGTCAAAAATAAGGACACTATTCTTTTTGCTAATATTTAGGTTGAAAACAAAATTGGCTTAAGATAAATGACTGAGATCCCGTGTGGAGCTTTCCGGAAAGGTGCTATGAATTTCAACGAAAGCGAGGCCGCCCCAAAACTATTATCTCTTTTGAATAGATCATCTTGTTGGAAAGTCGTCGTTTAAGCGCAGAGCAGAAGTATTTTCTTTCTATATTATCGATGAAATTTTCAGGACAAACTAGCCTTTTGTGGATTCGGTAGCCAGCTAGATCCACTTTGATCTACTTTGACCGCTAAATTTAGCTTTTGCGTTAGTACGTGATGTAATGACTTTCCACGACACCAAAGACCATGCAGGACTTTATAGATTTGTACCTGTTTTTAAAACTATCACAATAATAGTGGTATCTTTTCTTTTTTATAAGTTGTATTTTACTGGAATAACAATTTTAAGTTATGTTTTAGGCTGCGAGCAAACGGACGCAACATTGTTGACCAACAACTCCCAACATTGTTGGATGTTACATGTTGCGTCCGTTTGCACATCCTGTCGCATGTTGTTGCGTGTTGTTGCGCAAAGTTTGAAACCGTTTAAACGTTTAGCCCCGTGCAAACGGACGCAACCTTATTGGCCTAAAACTCCCAACATTGTTGGAAGCTGTTGCGCTCGTTTGCACGTAGCCTTAGCCTCGCACGCACAGCAGTAAAATAGGTAGATATATTTAATTAGCATAAAAGAGCGACTCCCTTGTTTATTCAGCGATTTTTTAAACTACAAAACTATTGTTTCGCGTCTCCGACCGTACTTTACGCCTGTCAGAGCATAAGTAACAATATCTTTTAAAAAAACTAACTAATGAACCATCCTAATTTGAAGAAAAAATGCTATTTTGAACAGCTGTTAAAATCGAAAACTGTGCAGCTTGTCACGTTCATAGTCAAGGATTATGTTACATATGAATTCACGTGGAACGACCTCTGAAAATCAACGCGCGCCCGGTGCCCGATTTAACAACATTTTCTTAAGCCTTTTTGACAGACATGCAAACAAGTCGGCCTCAAGAGTTTCCTAGAGAGGGGAGCGTTCTTTTTAGGCCAAGTTACGAAGTCGCAAGTAATAAATTCTACCTTTTTGACTGTAAATTAAGAAACCAACATGGACAATATTTTCAGTTACCCGAGGGTCCCCGAGGCCAAGTCTTAGATAGAGCACAGCTTGAGTCTTTGTCCTCCTCTACGCAGTAAGCTTACTTTTTCCTACTTTGCTGACGCAGTATCTTTTTTCTCCTTGTGCAATCCAACCTGACTTGCACGTGATTCGAAGTTGCAGCCAATGAAAAGCACACAATTTTTTTCGGGACGGGTAAAGGATACGGGAAAGTTAAAAAAAACAAGGCAATTTTTGACTCCCAAGAAACAATGCACAAGGAATGCGTTCCCGAATTTATGACGCTGGCTGACTACGTCATCCCGCGTAAAAAACGAAACATTAAAAGGGAGATCCTTGCGCGCGAAGCGCGCGCGGAGCACCATAACTAAGATAATTTGGTAAACTATCCATCCGAGAAATTTTGGTTATGACGTCAGCGTACGTCCGTCCGTACAGACTTTCCGGGTAGTGGAAAGTAGTCCGCATGGACTGTTAGGGTAGGGGAAAGTAGAGATCTTTTTGGCGGGAAATCGCATGGCGCAACGTCGCGCAATCGCGCAACTGGTTTTGAAAAAGAAATTTCAAAGCATCTTAGCAAAAAAATTTTTCGACAGAGCCTTTATAGCTTTTTATTCCAAAA